AGTTTACAAGTATTTGAATTATTACTATGTGTCCAGTGTTAATGATCATGCTTTTTGTTTGTTTGTTTTTATTGTTGTTGTTGTTCCACTTATGCATTCATGGGTTGATTCTTGTATGTGCCCTGATGGGGGATCGAACCTGCAATCTTGGCATACTGGGACAATGCTCAAACCAACTCAGCTCCCTGGCCAGGGCTTTCATGAGCATGTTTTAAATAGAGCTGTTCAGTGAGTTTTGTGTCAATACATATTTTAGTAAGTATTGAAGTATACAAGTGAGAATTGAAAACACTTTTAGTGTTAATGATTGTGAATACAATGATTAAGTTTGTTTTATTATTGCTCTTGTTTGCTTTATCAGGTTACTGTTCTTTAACATTTGTTCTGTTTTTAAAATACAGGTCTAGTAGAACATGGTCGTAACTGGGCAGCAATTGCCAAAATGGTGGGAACTAAAAGTGAAGCTCAATGTAAAAACTTCTATTTTAACTATAAAAGGCGACACAATCTTGACAACCTTTTGCAGCAGCATAAGCAGAAAGTGAGTATGTCAGGCGTGGTGAATCTCTTACTGATTTTTACTTACAATTTTTGTTTTTTGAACTTCAAGATAGGTTTTGAGAAAAACTTTTGTAGCTCATATTTTTATTTATTGCGTTTACCTGTAAAAGATATGCTAGTTTCTTGACACAAGTTGACTATTTATTTACTGCCCAAAGAATAAAACTTCTGTTAGTAGTAATGAGAATTCAGTACATTTGAATTACTGTAAACTGGATTTAAAAATGGAAGCATTTCGGAGTTTGAATTTAAAATTAGTTGGAGTGGTCTTGACATGATTTGATTTGGCATATTATAAAGCATTTTCCCAGAGAAATATTATATTGGATAAATGTTAAAAACCAGAAAGTAGGAAAAACCAAGATGGCGGCATAGGTAAAGACCTGAAATTACTGCCTTGTACAACCATTTCAAAACTACAATAAAAGACAAAGCGGACATCATCCAGAACTGCAGGAAGGCTGGCTGAGTGGAAATTCTACAACTAGAAGGAAAGAAAAAAGCACACTGAGACTCAGAGGAGGTGCGGAAGTACAGAGGTATGGAGGCGCTCGTGGAAAGGACTGGCAACTGAGGATGCGGGTGTCTTTTTCAATCAAGAGGGAGACTCAAGTTCCTGACTGCTCTGAACTCCAGTTCTGGGTGAGTCTCTGGGGACCCAGGTACATACGGGGAGAAACTGGACTGTCTGACATCGGACGGAACTTGAGGGTGGCCTTCTCTCAGAGGTGCTAGCAGCAATTACCAATTACCCTGGGACACTGAGATCCGGGGTCTCTTGCTGCAGGGCTGAAAATCCCATAGCTGTTTGCTCCGCCCTGTTGATTCTCTGAGACCCCACCCCACCTAGGCTGCTAGCAGAGGCTTTTGCATATGAATGCCCTGGCCTTTTGCAGTCTAAAATTACCTAATTAACTGCAGCTGGGTCAGAGAGACCCAGAACATCCAAAAGCAGGCCCAAGGCCCCACAGCAGCTTACATTGCTTCACAGCTGGGCCTCAGCTGGGCACATCCAAACCCCAAACAAAGCA